GGATAATGGAAAGAATTTCGGAGGTTCAAAGAAGGTTACCAGGACTAAGGCATCAATTTCCCTACTGCCAGACAGTTGAGAATGGGTTGTGACAGCAAATCATAAATCTTGAGATAGTGGAATTCCATCTCTTAGTAACACTTTACGTACGCACTAAGGCCCTTGAAAGGTATGAAGATCTCAGTATCCCCTTCAGCTATGGGTTAAATAGGACAGATAGGTTCTATAGTCTTAGATAGCAGGGATTCTAGAGGTTGTGATTCAATCAAAAACACAAGGAGGATCAATCTTTTTGTTATTCCTGAGAACAAGTCGGCCCATGAAAATGCACCTAGACTGAATTTTTCATTTGTATAATGTGTCCCATTTTGAAATCTGAGCAAAGTTTTACTTTATTTAAGACATAATTTCACTTTAACCATTTTTATCCGTATTTTTCAGTGTCGTCTTTGTTTCTGCAAAAAATTCATATATTCCCCAAATAGCAGTGAGTTCTCTGATTCTTTTCAATTTTTCTTAGTTCCAAAGTCAATTAAAATCTGCTTGGTATGATTATCCATCGTCCACATGAAATGCTTAGTGGGCTTATTCTAGGATGATTGATTATACATTTTTTGTCATGATTTGAAAGGCATTATTGGCCAATAAAGTCAATTTATGGAATTTTTGTACTATTACAGAAATACTTTTTGAGGTTTGAACCATGAATTGTTTCAAATATTTGTTGTACTCTGGGGTTATTGGATGGTCGAGAAAGATGTTTTCAGTGTCGATTCTTTTATTTGAAGAAAACTCTGACTGACAGGATATCCCTCGATATCAGACATATTTTTGGATTTTTTTTTTCTTGATTGCAACAAAATTTTTTTAAATGACGTTCAACAGTCTATAAGGGATAACTCAGTTTTTTTTTTTTACTTTTTAAATGTTGAAAAGATGAAAAGAATTTTTTCTCCGATTTTTTAACAAATAAATGAAGGGCAATGGAACCAGATACATGCAGTTAAAGAAAACTTTTAAAAAATAAAAATTAAAATTTTTTTCATAATCAGGAATGAATGAATGAATGGAAAGCCATAAGGAACAAAAAAATAAGAACTAAATTGAAAAAAACACGCGTAATATATGAAATGTGGCAAAAATTAAATTGGAAAAACAAATGAAAGGGGAAAATTCAGTTTTTAAAATAAAAAAAAAAAAAAATTGAACAAAGGAAGACAATTAAAAAAAAATTTTTATAAAGGCAAGAAAAAAAATTTCAATCATAAACTTCAATCCTTTGCTGTCAATTTTACACCAATTGTTATATAGAAATATATATATATATGTTGGAATATTTATACTTATTTTCAATGGGTGAAGTGGTATTATGACTTCCGACGATTTATTTTACCACAAGAGTTATTTCAACAAAGTTTATAGATTGAATTCAAATATAAAAATTATTTTGAATTTTGGGACGAGGACTTTATTTTTCAGACTTTTTATTCAGACTATTTTTATTTTCTTGTTGTAAAAATTTCCGTTTATATTCTCGGTTATTTAATAAGTTTTATTTCAATTTGGGAAGAAAAAGAATATTTATTCAGTTTTATGGTTGATTGATTTTATTCTAACTTATTGTCTAGGGACATTTTTTAATTTGTTTGGACAGATGTATTTATTTGGATTGATTATCTTTATTTGTTTTTTTTAATTGGTTTACCAGGATTAAGTTTATTTATTTGGATAAATTTAGGTCAGTTTATTTTACTTGTTTTTATTTATTTATTATACCGTATATTTTCTGTTTTTTGGTTTTGGGTTTTTTATTTAACGTATTTTTTTTTTATATTACAGAACAAGTTATATATTTTTTTGACTTTTTGGTTTGAGAAAAAAGCATTTAGAACAAATATTTTCTTCAAAACATTTTTTTTGCCAATTAGTTTATTATTTACTTTATTTGTTCAATTTGGTCATTTGTTTTGGGTTATTTTAACTTCCAAATTTTGTTTATTTATTTTTTTTTATTTTTTCCATTGAATATTTTTAATTTTATAAAAATTTGTTCTTTACATGTCTGCATTTTGACATTTAATAATTTATTTTGGTCTGGGAAAGAATTTCAATAATTATATTTTTTTCCTCCAAGCAAAGTTTGCAAGTTTTTAGATTGGATTGCTGTAGGCTGATGATCTTTTCCTTATTTTCCAAGATATTTTTATTTGTGATGTGTGTTCCATTTTTAATTTTACATGAATGAAATTAGAAATCATTGTGCTTTAGGCAACGTTTACTAATTACATAGAGATTTGTTTGTATAATTTCTTTTTTTCCAGGGTCCTTCAGTTTCTCCTATATATACCTTTTCTTCATGATCTGGTGATTTTTATCATGGCTTGGTATGTTACGTTGTTTTGTAAACAATTACCGTTTAAGGGACATTCGTTCTTTATTCTGCAGTTGCACATGGGTTAAATTTGTTCGTGTGGTTTGTTGATAATTTTCCTGTTGTTCATTTTTATTATTTGTGCAATGTTCTCTGTGCAACTGTAGCTGATTTTTGCTATGTTTTTGTCGAATATTTTGTGTAGGGTGCTTGATTCCACGAAGTATTTGTGTAAGAATTTGAAGAATATTTTTCCTACGTTTGTTTTTACGTTTTTGCTGTAAGGTGGGTTGAACCATGTGATATTTTTTTCCTGTTGGCCTTTTTTTGTGTTCTGTGGTGAGTATGTGAGTGTTGCTGGGAATCCGCTATCTTTTAGGGCTGTTTCATAGTCTTTCTTAGCTTTGTTAAATATGGATTCATTGGAGGAATTGTCGGAAAGCCTGCGATTAATCGATTTTGGTATCTGTTTAATAATAGAAGGCAGGTGGTTGGGAGATATGTGTATATAGATTGGTTTATCATTGGGTTTTCTATATGGTCTATATGTGCCTTTTCTTAGGTTGAAGGTAACATCTAGAAAATCTACATCATTTTGGTTTGTTTTTATATCTATGTCGAATCCGTTATTTTTAAAAATCTTTATTATTGCTTTTCTAGTTTTGTCTGTGTTTTGTTTCTTAAGATTATGAGACCGTCGTCCCTGTAGAGTCCTCTGTCATTTCTATTATTTTGCTTAGTTCGTGTAGTAAGTAAATACCTATGATTTCACATATCTCTGCACTGTCAAAGCTTCCCATTGTAGTGTCAAATATCGCATTTTTCTTTATCCATGTTTCTTCATTGTGAAATAGTAATGATTTACGGGAGTGCTTAATGATGTCAATTTCACTTGGTTTTATTATTATTTGTTCCTGAGCTAAGTTGATGGCCTTATCTAAAATGCATTCTGTTATGGATGGGTAAAATTCTTTTATGTCTAATTGTAGGAATTGGCAATGTTGTTTGTTCTTTATGATGTGGAACCAGTCAATAGTTGCTTTTGTGTTTTTCCACTGGTTTACTCCTAACTTCTTCCTAAGTTCTGAATTAATTTTTTCTAATGTTGTTTTACTTATTTTACCTAGTTCACTTTTGGCTGGGTTTATGAGTCTGCATGCAGGGTTGGTTTTGAAATTTTCTTTATGGTCTTTTAGTGTGATAAAGGCTTCTGCCTTGCTGATGCAACTTATTCGGTCATCTAGGTCTAATTTTTGGGTGATTGCTTTAACTTCCTTATTGATATTGTGTTCTAATGTTTTGGGTGCCTTTTTGTGTATTTTGGTTATGTTCTTCTTGAGTAATTTATTGGGTGTAGGCGGGCTTAGTTTGTATAAATTTCTTGTTTAGTCTGCTGAGATAAATACATTTGCTGTATTGTTTATTTTAGTTATATCTTCTTTTAGTTATTGTTTTGGAATGCATCAGAAAATTTTTACTATGTTAATAAAAACACCGATTAAAAAAAAAAAACAACTAAACATATAAGATAAGAAATAAAAATAAAAAAATAAAAATAAATAAAAACAAGCAAAATAATTTAACCCAAATAAATAAATAAACGACTTCTGGTAAAATAACTGCCAAAATAGACTACCCACAATGCACCACTGACCCATATATATATAAATAGCCGAGAAAAATAACAGCACTCATAGCGCTGATGTGTGCATCTAGCATTAAACAGACTGTAGCCTCTAAGTGTTGACTTCTATGCTCACTTTTATATTTACATAAATATCTGTATATATATATATATATATATATATATATATATATATATATATATATAATGTCATGTTTTCATATTCCAGTGGCAAATTTCTGACCAAAGCTGAATTTTACCAATTATGTGTCTCATAGTTGGAATTTTGGATATTACATTATTCAGTATTGTCCTCATCTTTGTGTATATTTATTACACTATTTCAGCCTTTGCACACTCTGGCCTTCTTCAGGTGGTTGGAATGTCTCATCTCCATGTTTGTGATATTGTTGACATTCTCTTTTTGGGGGATTTAACAAAGTATCTGATTAAAATAAAGATAAAATTATTTCATTTTCCCTAGGCATTTTGTATTAAATGTTAGCTGTTACTTCAGTTGGAGCTTCATCATCTTTCCCAGATCAGTTTCATCTCTCGTGTTTGTGCCATTGTTGACATTCTCTTTTTGAGAGACTTAGGAATGGATCTCCTCCTAGGCTCTTAGGAAAATGCAGCCTTGGTTTTACTGGGAAGAAGTACCACCAGGTGATAATCTTTCAGCATGTGGCACCAGCTATGGATTGATCAGTTACATTTGTTGAAGCTGTAATCTAAAAAGAACTTAAAAATCAACAAATATTTTTCAAGATCAATATTTGAATTGTTTCAGAATAGGGAATGTTCTGATTTCAATAGCATACATTTCATATGATATGACTTGATGATGAAGCAGTCTTCTTTCACTGCAAAAAATTTGATCTTCACTGCAGGGGCTGATGCTGCATCTTTGAAATAATAATTTTATGTATCCCTCAAAATACAGTCTGCTTATATATATTATTCACTGCCCCTATTAATCCATCATTTATGCCTTTTTTTTCACAGATATTTTGGTACACATACTGAAGTGAAACAATACACCTCTGGAGTTTGTGGATACATATTTTCAAGGAAGTCAAAAATGGCCAATCGTATACATACACACACTGGAGAGAAACCATATTCTTGTGGAGTTTGTAAATCTGCATTTGCATGCAAATCCCATTTAGTGGTACATATGCGTACACACACTAGAGAAAAACCATATTCTTGTGAGATTTGTGGATCTGCATTTTCACAGAAGTCAAATCAGGTCAAACATATGCGTACACACACTGGAGAGAAACCATATTCTTGTGAGGTATGTGAATCTGCATTTGTACAAAAATCAGATTTAGTGAGACATATGCGTACACACACTGGAGAGAAACCATATTCTTGTGACATTTGTGGATCTGCATTTTCAAGTAAGTCGCATATGGTTGAACATATGCGTAGACACAATGAAGAGAAACTATATTCCTGTGAAGTATGTCAATCTGCATTTACATCCAAACATTATTTAGTTAGACATGTGCGTACTCACACTGGAGAGAAACCATATTCATGTGACATTTGTGGATCTGCATTTACATGCAAAAATTATTTACTGAAACATGTGCGTACTCACACTAGAAAGAAACCTTATTCTTGTACAGTCTGTGGATCTGCATTTTCAACGAAGTCACTAATGGACAGTCATATGAATAAACACACTGGAGAGAAACCATATGCTTGTGACATTTGTGGATCTGTATTTTCAAGTAAGTCGAGTAAGGTTCAACATATGCGTACACATACTGGAGAGAAACCATATTCCTGTGACATTTGTGGATCTGCATTTTCAAGAAAGGCACATAAGGTCGAACATATGCGTATACACACTGGAGAGAAACCGTATTCTTGTGACATTTGTGGATCTTCATTTTCAGTGAAGTCAAAAAAGATCCGACATATGTATACACACACTGGAGAGAAACCATATTCTTGTGAAGTATGTGAATCTGGATTTACGCGAAATCCTGATTTAGTGAGACATATGCGTACACACACTGGAGAGAAGCCATATTCTTGTGACATTTGTGGATCATCATTTTCAAGTAAGTCAAATAAAGCCAAACACATGCGTAAACACACTGGAGAGAAACCATATTCTTGTGACATTTGTGGTTCTGCATTTTCAACTAACTCAAATAAGGTCATACATATGCGTACACACACTGGAGAGAAACCATATTCTTGTGACATTTGTGGATCTGCATTTTCAACTAAGTCATATAAGGTCATACATATGCGTACACACACTGGAGAGAAACCATATTCTTGTGACATTTGTGGATCTGCATTTTCAAGTAAGCTCAAACATATGCTTACACACACTGGGGAGACACCATATATTTGTGAAGTATGTGAATCTGGATTTGCCCGAAATTCTGATTTAGTGAGACATAAGCGTACACACACTGTGTCTGAAGATCATTGTGTTGTTTAGATCTAGTAACTAGACCCAAAGAATTTTAAGTTCAATACCAGGCCACAGCAGTGATGAACCCCAATTTGGAGCTTTGAAATGAAGGAAATAACTGAGACATCCACAAGAGGCATGGCACATGGAACTAGAACAATCTACCTTGCTGGATGAAATAATATTTTCGGTTTGAAATTCCAATCCCATGAAGAAAGCCGGAGCACACAATGGTCGAAACATTGTGAATGTGGCAATGAAGATGAGGATAAGTCTGAGTTATGTAAATAATGCAAACAAACAGGATTGTCTTGAAAATTTGTTTTAAAACAGTATCTCTTCCCATTTCTTCCCAACAAAAATAAATTCTTATATTTTGCTCAAAAATAAGTTTCTGTACACAACAATTTTACATAATGTATATACTCGCGGATTCAGTTGCACTTTCTTACCAAACATTTCACAGATTATTAGGGGTGCAACTTATCTGTTCGACATAAATATAAAACAACACTACGTTGTCATCATGATTTCTGAGAAATCAGTCATGATACCTGTAAACACTAAAACTGTTGTTTTTTCTCCATATAGAAACATTTTATCATGTATATTCACTGCTTTAAACTTTCCTCATGCTGCTAGATTCGCATATCCATCACAATAAATAAATAAAATTTATAAAATATTCATTTATCCATCAGTCACTGTTTGATCATGACCCTTGCACTAGACTGATATTGAAACTCTGAACGTGCATACATAAGTTAAGGAACCATGTGTAGATGTTTATTGACAAAGAAAAAATAATCCCATGAATTGTTCTGCAAAGTATATATATATTTTGTCAAAATACACTGGAAAATATGACTTAAAGAAATGAAATATATTTTTTGAGATAATTTTCTTTTATGGTTGTTTCATATAACATTAAAATGAGTTCTTAAGTGTTATTTACAAATAACAAAGCGCATGAATCTAGTACCCAAAACGTTTGCACTATTTTGCATTGTGCTGCAATATATTTGTAGACATATTAATAGTAAAAAATTTTAATCTTCAAAAGAAAGACTATGCCAAAGTAATCTTTTCTACCAGGATTATTGTCCCTTCTCAGGGGTGGTTGGATGAAAACCTAACAAAAATTTGGTTAGATGGAGTGTGTATGAGAAGACCTGGAGCATTACCTTGAACCACATAATTATATAAAAAATGCATATTTTAAATTTATATTTATGCCTACACAGACACACACACATACATATACGTTATCTCAGTATAATTATAAATATAGATCCAGCTAAAAAGTCATATTATTTAAAATAATCATTTTTCCCTGACAAGATTTGCTCTTAAATGCCAATTTTCAATCCTGTCATCAAGTGTGATACTTGCTTGACATCACCTGTCCTTCTCTTCACCTATCTTGTCCCTTGAGCTCATTTCTGACCACTCCCATCTGCTCTCTAGCCACCCAACAACCATGTCTTTGGGGTTTGACCCATTAAAACAATGACAACCTGCCAGATAGAATTCTAAGTGCCAGAATTATCAAAGATATTCCCAGGATGGAATTAACAAAACAAATGCCTCCATTAGAAATCAGTCTTGAAGTTCAATATCTTTGTGAGTAGATCTTGTACTACAGTAACAAATATAATAGACATTTTAACACATGATTGATTGGCCCGTATCGGGTGGAACTCATTCATGCAGCAGGCACTTTCTATTCTTTTACTTTTTTGCATTTGATGATAATTTATTGTAGTTCAAACCTGTGAAAATGATTTGCTTCCTCTAACAATCACACTCTTTGACAAACAATATAATATTTTCTTTGGTAACTCAACTCTCCAAGTTTATGTTCCCTCTGCTGTAGCCAGATATTGAACTCATGACTCTTTGGGTCAAGTCACTTTTTGGATTAATTCGACTAATACTTTTGTTGGGCCAAGGTTGAAGTAATCCAAAAAGTGACTTGACCCGTACAGGGCAAATTGACGGCTAGAGAAATAGGGGAAGGCAGCAAGCCACTTACCTGACAAGCTTGTATGAATCGATGATTAAATGGCATGTAGGAACCTTAGCAGAGAGTGAATAAAATGCTAAGAATCACATGAGATAGGAAGCTGTTTAGAACCATGATCGCCTATGTACTGAAGGGATGTGGCATATAGAAGAAGAGAGTAAGTGATGTCCCTGATTTCTCTACTTTCACTTAAAGTTATTTAGTAAGTTCACTTTAGGCAGGCACTAAGCTAAACATGAGATTGAAAGATTGCATTGCACTATTCTTTCAAGTGAGTCTGCGTTTGAAATCAGCCTTCAAAATTCTGCTTTTTACTTGTGTTTGCTTCTGAGATGGAGAACATGTATCTCTCCCAGCCACTGTTTCATTTTGATGTCCTTTCAGGATGTAAGGAATAATAGCTCTCCACATCTTCAATTTGCATTGATATAACTGTTCTAGGGAAAGCTCGAGGTCAACAAATATTGAGCAAGGGCCCATCCATAGTCAGAACACCAGTTGTGTGATCACACTGCTGGAAAAGACAGGGATAGTGGTTGGGAAATAGATGTTTAGAGGCCCATAGCCCTGCTAACAGATTTAAAGATTTTGGCCATGATTCTGTCAGGATCTGAGCAAACTTGTGCTGTGAAGGGCTGAACAATTCAGAAAAACCTGCATGTAATCCCCATGATCATAGCGTGAAAGAATATGATCAAGGTTTACTGATCAATTTGGACAAATCAAAAGCATTAGAAGGTGTTGAATGTTGGTACCTGGCTGTTGTCCTGCTGGCGGCCAAATTCACATCTGAATTAGCCACCTGTATGCCCCCCCCAGTGCTGTTGTATAGGTGAACGGAAAATGGATGCTTGGTTTTGTGCTGTCTTGGTCATTTAAACATGGTTGCCCACTGTCAGCCCTACTTTATGCTTTGGCGTTGGGGCCTCTCATTCCACGGTTGAAGAACAGGGCATGCTGTTCGGTCCTACATGGTATCAACGTATCTGGTGTGGCTCGAGCTAGGTTTGCCATGTACACCAGTGACATATCCATTTTCGTATTATATTATTGCGATCTTGTGTTGGTACAGAAGGTGCTTGAACAGTGTGCAAAGCTCCTGGGAGCCAAAATTAACCCAAATCTTCTTGTTTGTAGTTAGGTGCCTGGAAGGTGGTTGTTTTTCCGGGGCCCTTTTGTTGGACTGATGGAACTGTCCGCATTCCTGGAGTGTGGTTCATCCAGGACTCCAGCTAGAGAAGAACTGATCCGAAGTACAGATAAAGTTTGTAGTATCGATACAGACTTGGCTCTGAAGGAGGTTATACTTGAAGGGTAGGGCTAATGTGTGTACCACTTACGTCTTCCTCTTACCCTTTACTAGTTGGCTGTATTTACTCTTTTCAAGGATGCAGATCGAGCACATCTTGTCCATCCACTTGATGGGTAGTCACACGCAGATTGTCCGCAAACACCTGTGTCCAGTGTCTACGTCATGGGTGAGGAGGATTATCACACTTGGTAAGTCATTGATACACATTAAGTTTGGCTTTCCTATGCTACATTTTAGGCCTGGGAAGCTATTGAGTTTCATCATAAATGTCGAGCAGCCTTGAGGGTTTCTTCCTCGGTCCAGTGACCTTTCACAGCCTAAGAAGGTCTTGTAACATGAATTAGTGGAGGTGGTTGAAAAGGATTCAGTCGGATACACCTATTTTACAGGAATAAGGTCTCTCTGCAGTGTCAGTTTGAATGTTTATTCTCAAATTGGAATAATATGAAAATGTTGATTTCCATATTTCATAAGAATAGTTTTTCTCACCAGTGTTAGTTTGAATGAGTATTTTTAAAGTGTAATCCTGTGCGAATGCTATTCCACACACTTCACAAGAATAGGTTTTCTCTCCTGTGTGTATTAGCATGTGTTGTTTTAAACTTAGATTCACTGGAAATAGGCAAACAATAATGGAACAGCTACTTAAAAATAAAGATTAGACAGTGGGGAGAGAACAGTCGATCTCTGTAGGTTAAAGAAAATGTTCAGTTCAGAATTCCCTGTAGATTACCCTGATCAGCACTTAATGAAGGCTCGAGGGCACATCAGCCAAAATGTGATAACAACAACAAATATGAAGACAATAGTTTGAAAATAAATAATAAAACAACAATATCATGGTAAGATATAATAAAGGAAAGACGTTTCACTTTGACAGCTGTTTCAACTTTGTGGCAAAAGACCAAATCCTTTCTGATTGGCTATGCTTTCACATCTCCTTTATAAATTTACCTTTCTTCCATGCATGGATTATTGTTGCCACCCCCGCCCCCTATATATATAATCTTGACAGAAGATAATGATTAATGTTCCATTTAAATTTTTTGAAGATAGTATTAGTCAGAAGTTACTGCCGGCTACTCAAACGTCTGAGAGCGTCACCGCCGAAAACAGAACGAACGCCGTTAATTTCCGGTGACTCGTCGTTTTTTAGAGAACGATACACAAAAAGCAAAACAAATGAAACATAAACATACACAAGTCCTCCTAATGACCAGAAACTACTTTATATGCACATGGTGTCCAAATAAAACCCATGTGTACAGTCAAAATGCGGAGGGTAATTTTTAGTCATCAACCAAAAGACATCGCCAACCGGCAACGATGCTAACCACAGCCGATATAAACTCAGCCGATTTCTTCCACCAAATAACTCGGCCAACTTGGAGGACTTGGCCCCGGGGTAGAGCGACGTGCTCCCTCTCTCACCTTCACCTGGCCGACCCCCGTCGCTGAACGCACGAAGCGGCCAACCTCAGCAGCAGCAGCTGGCTGGACCAACTTCAGCAGCAGCAGCCGAACATTATATGCGATAGTCCTTTTAAGGACTGCTTAGGCCACATTATATGCGATAGTCGTTTTAACGACTAACTAACCGTTTTACAAGCGATAGTCCTTTTAAGGACAACCAAGCTGCGTTCTTATACAACTGTCATTCTATGTACGAACAGGCTACCCCAGCACTGTCTACACCGATCCTCTCTCTTCAAAAACGCCGACGCCCTTCTTTACAAAGGGTGAACATCCGGGGATCGACTGGACCTCGAATACCGCTGTTCCATCTGCCTGCCTCCGAGCCGCCGCCTTGAACCCTGACAACGATCCTTCGACTGGAACTCCCTGACTTCACGATCGAACTACACCAAACAATTCCTGTACACACATACATTTGTCCAGATCGACAAATAAATCCGATGTTTGTTATTCTAAACCTCTGCCTTTATTCCTCATTGTCTTAGCTGTTCACACCTTTCTTCGTAAAGTTTGCGTGGGCGACATGCTATCGGCCCCGAAACAGTAGTAATGCTTCCTAAAACCCCATAAAAACCCAAATTTTATAAAAAAATTGTACTACTCATGCTTTTATAAACACCAAATTTTATATAAAATAAAGTAGCCAGTCATTTAACAAAACTTTAAAAAAAACCAAATGTTTTATAAAAATGTAAATAAGCATGCTTTTTTTTAAAATCCCAAATTTAATAAAAAAAACATGTAAATAATCATGCACCAGTTTAAAAATGACTGCGTGATTCCAAATATAGCAGGAAAAAATGAAAAAACGAAAAACAAAATCAAAATTACGTCACTGAAAGTATAAGAGTTTTGCTTTTTTCTTCTTCTTTTGGAAAAAAATGAGTTCACCCATGATATTAAAATCTTTCAGTTGGTTCTGTGACAAATTTAAAACAATTTAATAAAAGAAAATAATTATTTGAGAAAGCTCCTTTTAAGACAATAACAGAAAGCACATTTTAAAATAACCTTCGCTAAATTGCGCAGTAATCAACACTAGTGAGAAGATCCGAAAAGCAGTAAAAAGGCCGTTAACTAAGTAAGCTTCCGCGCATCATGTATGTAAACAATGCCAATAATGACGGACGGACCTGATGCGAATGAGGCTGAACTTTTATATTGTCAATAACTCCAAAATGGTAGATTTCCGTAAACTTTTACTGTTACTTTCGAAATAGACATGAAAATGTACACATTACTTAATTATAGCTTAAAAAGTAATATACAAACATTGCTTAATAATGGTCCTGTTTTTCTTATGTTTAATGACATTATCGATTGTGCGAGAAAGCGAGGGGAAAAACAACTTCTTGCGACACAAAAACGAACGCCTTCTTGCGAACCTGAAGCGAACGCCTTCTCTTCCGAACGATCACTTTACGACAGCAAACGAGCAAAACGGCACCATAACGGGCCGAACCTTCTGTTTGTTTTCCTGCAGAATGGCCATGAGGGGGATTAAACCCTTTGGGGGTCCGAGTTCCTCCTCCGGGTAAGGAAGCAGCCAGCCATTATCTATCCAAATCTGGAGTTCCTGATCACACTCCTCCCGAATTTGTGCGGGAGCTGGATATTCTGCCAGTCTATTTCTTAACGTAGCCCATTTCCAAGATGCGGTCCACCTCCGAGTGGTCTCATCGAATTCTACTTTAAAGTCGGGCTCAGTAATGATGATGGCAGCAACGACTGGTTCGACACTGCAGAAACTTCACCTCACCGGTGCCAGTTACAGATATTCCTCCCAACTGTTTGATGGCGTCTAGTCCGAGCAGCAAGTCAAATCCAAGCAGGTCTCCGTCCACTTCTAGGGCTTCCATAGCGATGGACGGCTTTGCACCAACGCTAACTTGTACCACTCCGATTCCACAGCAGTCAAGTGCGCCTCCGTCTACTGTAAGCACGCGTGTTGATTTTCTTGTCCATGCTCGACGTCATGACTTGCGGACTAGTGACTGTGTCCTGTATCCACCAGAGCTATACGTGGTATTCCATTGATACGAACTGTCACTACAGGCAATGCGCCATTTATAAAGGTTTTGAGAAGGAGACTCGCGCTGAATTCTCGCCCCCTTGCTGGACAACACCGAGCAATGTGCCCTCGGTGATGACATCGATAGCAAGTGATGGTCCATCGGTGCTTGGTACCAGCACCTTTGGATAGTTCACGACCCAGCAGACAATCGTTCGCCCTAATGATTGGGTCCATCACATTTAGCACCTCGTGTGCACATCTGTTTCTTTCAACTGTGCAGCCACTGCAGCCTGCTCCATAGGACCAGTGCACTTCTTCAAAATAGCGCGAACTCGTGCCAGCACATGTGACAAATCCAGGTCTTCCATCCGGGATGACACTCTTAAAAGCTCCTCTGCATGCTCAGGTAATCCAGCAACGAATGCACACTGCAAACACTTTTCTGATACGCCACCAAACAGAACCGCGAGTCAGCGCAGTTCTGCCAAAAAGACGTCGACCGTCTCCCCTGGCTGAAGGCGACGTGCTGCAAACTGCTTCCACGCGGAGAAGGGATCTAAGGCGAAAGCTGTGATAACGCTTTCTTATAACGCTTTTTAACGCAATGCTGGTGAAGTCTGCGCCGCCTTCAGGACACTCAATTGCTGGTTCAACAGCATATGCGCCGCCTGCCATTGCGACCGATCGCAACGGCAGCTTCGGGTCGGAGGTCACCCAAGAAAAGACGACCAAACGACTCGCGCGTCTTCGTCTACTTGTAGTCCTCGGTCGAGTCCATTATGGTACTCAAACGAGGTGTGCCGAGTCCGGTGACAACACGGTGAAACTCTCAGTTCGAGGACGCTTGCGCGCATGCTCGTTACATCGATGAACGCCTAGGTGTTGAAAGCTCGTATGGATGACTAGAATTGACATAAATTTTCAAAATCTAACGAACGCATTGTTTATTTCTTTTTAATTACCCGGTAATTTTTACAAATTAATATTTTCTACAATTATCTAATATTTTATTGACTTTTTAGTGACGTTTGAAGATGCTGTCTGAAAAATAATAAAATCTTCTTAGATTAACTTAAAATTTAATAATATGAAATACCAAGATCTTACTCCATACTTTTCAAAGTTCTATTTCAGGAAATTTCAGAGAGATGGTGTATCCCAATATGCTTTTATTTGACTGGTAAAATGTCTTTTGACAAACTTTAAAAGTTTTCTCCAGGTTTTTGTACCGTGTGATCATGTTTTTTCTTACTGGGTATAAGCATGTCAAAAACTGATCGTATTTTCCGCGCAAATATGATTTCTGCCAGAGTCATGGCCAAAGGCGCATTTCTATTTGGTGTATACACACACACACACACACACACACACACACATATATATATATATATATACATACACAAGTATCTATATATACAAGTATAGGATTGGTGTATATGGAATAAATTCCAATAACCAACAATTACTATTCTTAAAAGAGTGCTCAATACAGAGTAGAGCGAATATAATTATTTATTCGAAAATTATAACATAAATATGTTATAACATAGCCATTTTGTTTCAACACCTCTGGAGTCTTATCAAGTGATGATGTTAAGACACCAGAGGTGTTGAAACAAAATGGCTATTTTTGTAGTGAGTTTATAACATATTTAGTTTATAATTTTTGAATATATATATATATATATATATACTTGAAAAATTGTTGTTTAATACATATATTTGTTGACATATATATATCGGTCTTGTTTGTTTTCTTTACATCTTCGGTTGGACTCAATGTTCTTGTAGTCGGACCTTCTTCTAACAGGAAATAAACACCACGTGTTTCTAATTCAACAACACGCTAACCCAGGGTCGGCTACAGCGTTACATTTCTTATAAATTCCCTTTCAAATTTTGTTTTCTCTCATGTAACACTACGAGTTATTTTTTTTGGTAACTATTAACGTTGATTTATCCAATTTTCTCCATGTATAAACATTTATTTATTATATTTAAATCGGATCCAGTATCCGTTGCAATTTGATGTTTGTGTTGATAATTTTTACCCAGACAAGTTTTCTTATAGCAGATTTATACATAGTAGTTTATTGTAAGTACTCACTCGTTTTTTAAATTATGTTTTACACTGTTTTTTTTATGTCCTTTTTTTCCACAATGAAAGAATTCTTTTTCTAAGGACAATCCTTATACCAACGTAATTCTCCACATGTGTAACATCGGTTAGGAGTGATGTTTTTTTCCTTCCTCACTTTGTAATGTGCGACATGCCACTTATTTCAATACCTTTGGCATGAAATCCTTTTTCTGATTTCAGCATCTTTAGTTGAAAAAATATTAAGCATTTAAAATTGTCATGGCTTAATTCTGCCTGTTTGATTTCTCACAATTTACACTACAGGCTGAAAACTTCCGAAAGCAAAGTAACCATGTGTTTAAATGTTAGGTCATTCGTTTTTCTTTGGTAATATATAGTTTACAAATTTAGTACAGTGTAACCCGGATATAAGAGAATTGTCGGGACCGGATAAGAAGTCTCTTATATCCGGGTTTCTCTTATATACGGGTTTCTCTTATATCCGGGTTTCTCTTATATCCGGGTTTCTCGTATATCCGGGTTTGGTCTATTTGGTTTAGGTAAGTATGGGAACACTTTGGGACTAGAGAAAATATCTCTTATATCCGGGTTTCTCTTATATCCGGGTTTCTCTTATATCCGGGTTACACTGTATATTCGACAGCGCCTAGTTTCCTTAGCAAAAGTTTCACCTTCTTGCCGCCGTATCAGTTTGCACAGTCTGTTTGTACAGGTTTTCTCAAAAAGTTAGCTTTCTTTTATTTCATTTGTTTTTAGATTTTAAAAGTTAACAGTCGTTGATTAAATATTAAATTGTAAGCAATTTTTCACCTTTTTTTTACCATCAATAATGATTTATGTTTGTGTAAAGTAAAAGATTTCGAATTACCTCCCTTATCGTTTGTTGATATTATCACAAGGGAATGTACACTGCTAGACACCGTCTGTTTTAAGCGCATGCGTCATTGTAGCAAAAACTGCGTGGTGAAAAAGAGGTAAGCACATGTGAAATTCTCTCTGTCAATTCAAGTAATTGTTTTTAATTTTTAATCATTCTAAATTTCCTAAGATAACACCAAAAAAAGGTGTAACTGATTTTTAAAAAATTTTAATTGATTTTTGAACTAAGTTTGATTTTTTTGTTTACAAACTCGGCAGAAATGTCCGATAAATCGAATTTACTAATTTTTTTTTTATTCAAGAAAAACGAATTTTTTTAAAACATTTTAAAAATTTATAGGAAGGATTTAAAAATCTGAAAAAATATTCAAAAAAT